GTGAATTACCGGGAAGGACAAGAAGTATTCCGGAAAAACTTCGCTCTTAGCAATTTTAAGCAAGGCATAAATGCTAAATTCTTGCCTAAATATATCAAGTGTCTTGTTCTGCGAAAGGTAGGCAATGCTTTGTACGATTTAGAGGACTTGAATGGCAAACCGATCGGGAGGTTCCATGCATCTGACATCCGGCCATGACACTGTCATCTGTCACGAAGAGCGATCCGAAGTAAAGCATTTCTTCCAAAATTTAATAATCACGTTTTTTCTCAAATTTATATATATACACGTTTTTTCCAATATTAAACTTAGCGACAGGGTGTAACCTTGACCGCCCGCAGACTGCCCGGGGTCCAACTGTGCATGGCTTTTCCTCGAAGCTAAGTCATGCAGGGCTGTAACTCGCTTCTGTAACTCTTCCCTACCGATCATATCTCTGCTGGTAGAGAATATACGTTTTTGATTACTACTCCTTAGCAGTAGAGAACAACGCGGCGAGTTCATATAGGACCACATTGTGAAGACCGACTAAGTTCGGTCGGGGGTTGCTAACTCTAGCCAACGAATGTGAATAGAGTATCTTTTTTTCTCTTACTGTCCTTTTCACTGGGCGCTTTGGCGGTCGTATCCTCCCCGAGCATCTATATTCATAGGACGTTCACGCGCGCTCCCACCGGGAGTCGTGAGCTGCCTGACAATCCGCACTCCCATTAGGATGGTCTTTTAGGAGTTTTGACGAGTTCTCCTTATCAAAATGTCTACTTCATTTAGGAGTTTTGACGAGTTCTCCTTTAAGAAAATATCTCTTGGGCCGCAAACCCATAATGAATAAGAAACTATATAAATATATACACGTTTTCCCCAGCCGCCGGACGGCTATAAACTCGCGGCCAAGTGTCCTTTTCAGGACAGTCTGCCCTGTGGTCTTCTTAGCGGTGTTGAATTAGTGGGGGACAGGGTGTTAAGACCGACTAAGTTCGGCACTTTGGGGGGTAGGCTTCTCTGGCCTAAAACAATAGAGAACCACCGCAACACCGGACTTGATTGTTGGCCCAACGTTTACTCGGTGTAATTCGGACTCAAACATTTCGAAAAGAACGCTAATTCAATCTGAATTGATTATACAACCAGGTTGAGTTTTAATCCGAATTTACTGGGAAAACTTTGACCCAACCATAAATTTCTTACCAGTATTACTATAAATCACATTGACTTACTAAAACCCCAGATTGAACCTTTCAAAACATTAAATTCATTGCTTTACGAATACAAGAATGATAGGACCCGACTCAGTATTAACCAGATCAGTAGACCTATTGCTCCAGAGATCGGCTATAAAATAACGAGTCCACCCAGCATTACAAGCGAATACTGACGCGGAATATTGTACATGCGTTGACCTCGGTATTTACGTAACTTCAAACTTAACTTATTAGACTACCAATACTGAGTCGGACGAACCCTGACTGCCACTTGACGTAACTACGGGGTATTATTTTTTTTGCCCGGCTAATTACTAATTATTTTTTTTTCTGAGACTATATCTCAGGGGTGAGTCGCGCCCCACGTTCTTGTGATTTTACCACCCAGTTCTCTTGCCGGACGCCTCGCAAAAGACAGTTAACCCTTTTCCTGCTCGCTTCCGTGACGAGTCGGGAAGTGAAGCAGGTTTGTCATGGGTTACTGTTCGCCGCAAAAAATATAAATAATTTATTCTTCGGCAGATAGCGCACCCGGTAGCATGTCAGAAATTTCACCATCTCATAATTTTCTAGAGTGTACGGCAACGCTAAAACTGCATGGAAGGTCTGCCATTTTGCGATAGCTGTGTTCCTTGCGGACACGGTTGCTGATTGTCACTAGTTCCAGCAGGTCTGTTGGTCTACTTGTTTTTTGGTTAATAAACGCTTTCCCGCGGACAGCTACGTTTTCCTTACTTCATCTGACTGCTGTCCATTTGATGTTAAATGCGTTTTCATTACCGCAGTGCATGTCAAAGACTGTCGTCAACTTTCAGTGTCAGATGATTGACATTCCGTTTTCATTACTGACGTCAAATGTGAGGTTAATTTTTACAAAAAGTGTAGAATACCGACCTTTTAGCTGTAGAAAACCCAGGTGTGTAATTTGGTGGAGCTCTTCATGCTGATTTTAACCTTACCAAAGTTGTTTGGCGCGGGTGGGAAATTGAAGGGATATACGAGGTTAAGTTAAATTTTTTCGATACTTTGAAATATCAATATTTTATGAACTACATAGCCGATTAGACAACTAATGATGTCAAAATAAAGATGATTAGTTAATCGTTCAGTTGATGTACATAATTTTCCTGATTTTTTATTTTTTTTTTGCTTAGATTGGTATTTCGTTTTCTTTTGATTTTCAGCTTGTTTTAAATTTTTACGTTCTTTTTCAGCTTTTTCTGTTTAAACGGATTTTTTTTTGAATTTTTTTTTGCTACGTGTCCGCTATGGCGCAGGGAACAGGAGTGAGGCAAGAACCCCACCCAGCCGACATGACTAGCCACAGTGCACCCCATTGTGTCATGCCGCCTGCACACACTGCTGCTCTCAATGCTATGCGCACCATAACAGTGTATACGTATTTTTTTAAACAAACCTTCTTGCAGAGAACTTATTTAATTTGCAAAAGGCGGACTTAATTCCTGAAAGTTTGAAAGAGATTAAATGAAGGTACGTACAGACGCCAGGTACATACCAAAGCATCTCGTAGTGGAGACACTCTATATCTTTCCAACTAGTAGCCGGAACTTAATATATAAGGTATCGTTTGAAAGGTATTGGCCTATAGAATAACACTAAATATGGTGGGTGTACCCTCATGCCCCCTTAAACCGGGAAAAGCAGTAAAACGTTTTTTGTTTGGCAACACTTTAGCTTGACTTTTAAGAATCCGGTTAATCGTTTATGAAGCTTGAATACATTTTCTGAACACACTCTGCAAGACCTTTCCAACGATATCTCAAANTCATGCCCCCTTAAACCGGGAAAAGCAGTACCACATTTTTTGTTTGGCAGCACTTTAGCCTAATTTTTAAGAATCCGGTTAATCGTTTATGAAGCTTGAGTACATTTTCTGAACACACTCTGCAATACCTTTCCGACGATATCTCAAACATGTCGATTGGACGTCTGGATAAAAATTTCCAAATCTCGTGTATATATGAGCGAGTCATTTCAGCATGTTACTGTAGCTGCTTTCGTCACTCGCGTGCACTGCCATGCGCTGTGATATGTGGTTTATGGAGAATTTTATGAGCTTTGACCTGACGTCTCTCATTTGAAGATCGTTAAATTGGTTTGTAAGGTATACGCGATTAAGTGGAACCATTTTTTGTTTTAAGCTGAATAACAGTAAATTGCAAATATCTCGAAAACGTATCCATAGAAAAAAATCAACGCGATTTTTGGAATAACCGAGCATAGAAATTTGATAGTGGCGTCTGGAGAACAAAACCCAAACTAAAATTTGTGATCCAGTGTTATTGATATTGTACTAGTACTCACAGTACCTGGTGAAATATACCTTATTCATTCATTTTCTATGTTTTCGTTTTGTTATTGGGAATTTTTGTAGTTTCGGAAATCACCGAGCTCAGAGTTGCTATTCCATGTGTCTACAATTTAACTCAAATGTATTCAGCCTTCAGCCTTCTCCGAACCGGTTCACTTTTCGTTTCCGTGTATTCACTAAGGGCGGATGAAATAAATTCGGACGATAAGGGACATTATGTTGCAAATACAACTTTTGAAAAGTACGAAAACTATTAATTATATGATGTTTTTTTTATATATGTTTTAAACTAGCTTAAAACAAAATGTTTTAACACATGTTTTAAAAATAGGTGATTTTTTCCATTGTTTTAAACAAGGTTTTTAACACTTCAAAAAATGTTTTAAGGTTTTCCAACCCTGGGTACAGTACAGGAATCTTCTATTGAAAAATTTCAACAAATTAGTTTTCGTGATTGGGATAAAGAAAAATATTTGGGTATTCATACAATTGGGATAAGATTTGCAGCAAATTTCGGCAAATACCCACCCGCGTGACACTGCCTTTAAAGCGCGTATTTATTCGGATATTGTTAAAGAAAGAACTAAAAAAACTAACAAAAATTAAATAACAAAAATAATGTTTTAAAACTTGTAAAAATTTGGTGCGGCTATAACTTTTTCGACTACTGTACATAAGTTGACTATGATTACTCGGTCGTGCAATCATAGCAGCACAATGCCACTAATATTTGACTTACAAACAAAATATGCGCAGGAATATCAAAATTTCAACCCTTTTTGTGTAAAATATTTTATTTTTAT